TAAAATGAATGAAAAAACATGAAAAGAAAAATAATAAAAAAGAATAGAGAAATAGCCAGGGGGGTTTATTCAGCAAACGCGCTCAGTTAAAATCAGGATGGGCCAAGCAGACGGGGGTGCGCATAGCAAATTACTAAGCCCAGAACGAAGTCAGCATTAAAGAAAATAAAAAAAACAAGCTGGGGGTGAGAATAGCATAGGATATCACGTTCTAATGGAATTGGGCTCACTAACGGGGGGTGGGGATATCACTACTCGCTCAGGCCCGCCCGTTTCAATTAATGAAACGGTGCGTTTAGGGCACCAACACATCTCCCTCCAAAATCTGCTTTAAACACCAGCCACACGATGGCTCCTCAAGTCAAAGGTCTTGCATGAAATGGACCGCCCAGATTTCGTCTTCCTCATTGGATTATGAGAGCTTAGGGTTTACACCATGAAAGCACATGCACGAGTACAATTTCTCCCAATCTGTTCTCACTCCACAATCCATGAAACACCACGATGTAAACATGAAAAACACTCTAAATTCCTCCCTCTACACGTCTATGGTATTAGATTGCATTAAAACTCAGCCAATCAACAAACCCGATCGAGACAAGTTCTGGTCACCATGGAAATACTCTGCAACTCATCAGCACAATTCTCCATCAAACCTAGACTAATCCCTTCCATGACTAATGGTGATCATCCTGCGCTAACAACCTAATATTATAATGGCTTAACCTAAGAGTTCTAGGTCCTAACAGTTTTTACAACCTGCTATGAATTGTCTCTATTCAGCCTCAAATTCATCTAAACTAACCTCCTAACATCCTAGACCATGAATATACTAGTAAAACTACCTAAATCTCCCTAGATTGAATGAGTTAGAAAGATTTGCACCTTGAGCAAGCTTTAATGGAGGCTGAGCAATCACGTGGATCCAGGCTCTTGTATGCTTCAATCTTGATCCATTCTTGATGTACTTGATTCTTTTTGCAATATTTGGATGAAACTTGGCTTGGATCTTGATCTACAACTGAATTTGCAGCTTGTATGTTCTTGAAGAAAGTGCACAAAATTGAGCTCTAACCACCAAATCTTTGATTCAATTCTGATCCAGGATGATGATTGAATGCAGGAGGATCAATGTTGATGAAAATTGATGAAGATTTTGAGAGATTGAAGTGAAATTGCAAAGAGAAAGAATGAGAGAATTTGGGAAATTCTTGGTGAAAAATGAGTCCAACCCTTGATCAATCTTCATTTCATGTTTATATAGTGTTCAATGGTAACTTCTAGATCCCTCTTACACATTCCCTTGCCTTCCAACTTTGATTCATTTTGGCTATGTTTCTTAAAATGCAAGTAACCAAGGATAACTTTTCTTTTTCCTTCTAAACTCAAAAAAGTGTTTGAACCATTGTCTCTAGAATGTCTTTTCCATTCAAAATCATATATTGGAAGTCTCCATTTGGACTTATAAATCTCCCAAACCATTTTCCACTTTGACTTTATTCAAATTATAAGCCATTTTAGTTCAAATTTGGACCAATCATGCAACTTCATGTTATGAGCTTTTCCAACAATTTGTGACCTTCTTTCTAGACTTAAAATCACATTTGGAGAAAGTTTGATGTTGTAAGTTTTTCCATTTGAGGCCTCCTTGTATGAGTTTTGGACATAGGTTAAAATGACCTGTAATTCACAAATGCCCAAAATACCCTTTGCTTGCCAAGACCATAAGTTGAGCTCCACACATCATATGAGGGCATGCTATACCATTCTAGAAAGCTAAGACAATGAGGAACAATTCTTATGTTGACCAAGAACTCATTTGAAATCTCCTTGAGGGGTAAAAATTGCTTGGAAGTCAAGTCACTTTCACAGACAAAATTTCAGATACCTCAGATGACCTGTAACTTGCAAGGACCATAACTTGAGTTCTATAAATCTCCTTGATGTCTTCCACCACTCAAATTAAAGGTCTTGAGATCCTCTACAAGTTTCATGTTGGCCAAGAAGCCATTTGAAGCTAGCATTTTGACTTATCTTGCTTGGAAATTTGACCTAAACTAGGGGATTTTACACAGAAACCCTAATTTAGAAACTCCTCTTCTCCTTGATTTCTCTTGAATTCTCCTTGGCATATCTCTATATCCTTCTTTATATATCCAATGATGAACCCCCCATCTCTCCACTAGACTTGAATGCCCCTTAAGTCAGTCAATTGACCTAGGGTTGACCTAGGGTTGACCCAGATGAAACCCTAGTTGACTGCCTTCAGCTATAGCTCTTGTGCTCTCATCAATGACTTGTCTCCTTCTCCAAATGACTTTCTAAGTCTCTCATAAGGTCTAGATACTCTCCATGCCTTCAACTCACAGCTCACAACCCTCTTGTTGACCCTCAGATACCCTCAGCTAGGAGATGGACTCAAGGCTTGATCTGCTGAACTCTTTGCTTTCAAATTCTTTCCTGACGACTTGAATGAGATTGAATTGGGATAATAACCTCTTGATAGGCTTCTAGAGATGAGAATGATGATTGGTCCCCTGTTGAATGACTTGCTATGCTTATGCTATGCAGATGGTTAGTCTATGTACATGACTCTATATGCAAATGCTAATGACATTGAAACATAAACCAAGTGAATAAGGTTGGGCAAATTTTAGGGTGCAACAATATTACTAAGAGCTTGATTGCTTCTAGTGCAAGTCAATCACAAGATAATTAAAGTTGCTTTAAACAAAGCAATTTAAAAAAAAAACTCTTCACGTTGATATTCTATCAAGCCATAATTGGGTTCATGTTACTTATATAAGATTGATACACCACAGACCTAAGTTAATATATGAAATATCTATAAGCAAAGTCTATATTATGTGGCATACAATAAATGCAATTATGCAATAAAGGAGTTAAGGGAAGAAGAAAAGATACACAAGGCTATATAGTGGTTCGACGTTCGTCTTCACTTTGCCTACTCCACTCTTCAATGGTGTTAATTAATCATTGGAAAATAATCACGGTCTTCCACTATTTTGATAAGTTTGATACACGAATTTTGGTTACAACAAACTATCACACGATAATTCCCTCTATTGATGCAGACACTCAAACTGCTAACAAAAATAAGATCCTTCAAGATCTTGACCCAATAATCTCATTATCCATAATAACCCGCTCCAAGTATTCGTGTGTGGCAACCCCTTGATCCCATAAATTTCTTGTCTGAGAGATTTCCCTCTATTGAGCGTATAATGGACAACTCTCAACTTTGTATGCAGGAAATCTTTCTCCAACGCCACCAAAGAATGACAACTTCCAACTCCTCCTTACAAACATTTGATAGCTGACCTCGCCAAAGTCTTCCTTTGAGTATATTGAGAAACTCTCTTCTTAATCAATAATAAAGAAAACCAAAATTCGTTTAATAAATTATACATCCGCTTTGTACAAATAACAAACTTCAAACAAAAAAACATTATATACCCTAATGTACCCTAGTCTTCTTCAATCACTCAATCTTTAGAGATGAAGTTTCTCAACAATGGAATAGACTAAGGATAAAGATGATAAATAATTCCAGAATATCTCAAAAACCAATCTAAAAATACAAGGTGTTAGTCAAGGAATTAGATGAATGTGAATGAAGAACACACACACACACACACACACACACAAAAGGTTCTCTCAAATTTATGGGTAAATGAGCCTTGCTGCTTTATTGTTATCATGCGCTTGATCAATCATGATTAATACACAATATTAATCAACTCACTCTCTCCAATTCATAATCAGAAACAACAAAGTTGCACAAGAATAATGTATAATACAAAAAAGTGAATCTAACATGGATAACACTCAAGAGATTGTTCTAGAGAAGAAGAGAAAGATTCATAGTAATGGGTATATACACGCTAAGAGAAGGCAAAATTACATATTTGTCTCTACGGGTTTCACCCATAGGTTTCACTTATTTGTTACTTTCATCAAAGAAATAACTATTTTATCAAGGATTAAAAATGGGTCTTATGAAGCTTTGATTCAAATAAAGAAGAAATTTTGATCCAAATCAATTTGAGCAGAGCCCAAATATGGATTCATGAAGGCAGTTGATTCAAATCAATTTTTACACTTGATTCGGATTACATGAGGTTGTGATTCAAATCATGTTTATTTTGTGATTCATATTAAATGGTCCAAGGAAATTCCTATACTTAACAAAAATCCGGATTCGAATCATGTTTTACACTTGATTTGAATCAAGCAATTAAAAAATCCAAATTTAAGAGTTCTAACTTGTGATTAAAGCAATGCCTGTTGAAACAACAAAATAGCCACTTGCTAGGCTTATAAAGAAACAATATCATAGATTAAAGTACTCTTATTTAATTGAGCAAGGAGGGTTCTTAATGGTACACCATATAATATCTGAAGCGATTATAATATAAATGGAATACGAATAACGCACAAGCACACAAATATTAAATGAGAATCAAATTTAAAACACACAAATAGACTAAAACAACTATATTCAAATCAACAAAAAAATATCAAAACAAATAAATGATACCATACAATACCATGCATGCACTTCCAATCATTATCTGTAGGACCGAGAGGTTTTATTGATATAAATATATTTATACCTGAAACAATTACAAAGCTCTAATTTTAGTGTCATTTTCAACTTCCCAAAAGGCCATGCTCTCTAGAAGGGCACACTCATTAACTATGCTCTTCCAAAGACTTGGATCATAAGATTTAGCTTCAATTCCATCATTCACTCTGAGTTTTCTATCATACTTACCTATAATCATATTACACGAGAGATCCTTTTATCCACTATTTATTTTCCATCCAAGCTTAGCAATGCAAGCTTTGTTCATATCTGACAATTTCCTCTGACCCAATTCACCATGCTTATCAGGTTTTGCTACTTATTCCCACTTTAAAGTAAGCAAATATTTTTTCCCTGAAGCCTCACCTCATATGAATTTCCTTTGGACCTGTTAGATATTCTTAAAGAAGGTATTTGGTATCATATTACTCATCATAGTATATGTTGGAATTTCCTTCAGCACTGACTTAGCTAGAGTTAACCTTCCTGCAAAGGACAATTGTTTGCCTCTCCAGCTAGACAACTTAGTTTTGGCCGGGTCCACTAGATATTGATAGTCCTTCGCCTTAGGGAACTTTCCTGTGAGAGGCACTCCTAGGTAATACCCAAACTTCTTTGCTTCTTTAATTCCATAAAATTGAATAATCTTTCTTCTCGTATAAACATCAGTACTTTTGGAGAATAAAATCCTAGACTTATCATAACTAATTCTCTGACCGGATTCTCCATAATATTTATCTAAAACTTCCATAATGCAAGTTATTTGATTCTCTACAACTCTTCCAAACAAAATTAAATCGTCAGCAAACATAAGGCAAGAAACAGTGGGGCTTGACTTCCCAGCTTTCGCTCCTTCACATCTTCCCTCCTCTACTTGCTCAATTATCATATGAGATAGCTTGTCAATACATAGGACAAAAACATAAGGAGAAATGAGGTATCCTTGTCTAAGTCCCTTTTTGGTTTCAAAATACTCACCTTTATTACCATTCCATAAAACACACATTTTCACAAACGAAATAGATTCCATGATGATATGCCTTAACTCATCTGGAATTCCTACCTCATGTAACACTATATTTACAATAGTCCAAATTATAAGCTTTTGCTAAATCAATTTTAATTGCAAATAATCATTTTTTATCATATTCATATTATGAAACATTTCATGGGACACCACTATGTTTTCATGGATGCTCCTATTGGGAATGAAGTTTGTTTGATAAGGAAACAATATTTCATTTATACCTAACTTCAGTCTGTTCACAATTATTTGCTAAGGACCTTATAAATGGTGTTACAAAGTGCTATAAGTATAAAACAATTCATTAGATGAGGATATTAGACTTTAAGGATTATAAAAATATCAATGTAGTTTACCTTAGTAGTGTCACTTGGCTTGTCCCACAACTTCTTAATAAAAGTGCACACACTGTTCCCTTATATGTTCCACAAGACATGATAAAAGCCACCTAGAAATCCATTAATCTCTAGATATTTCCAAGGGGACATGCCATTGTTAGCATGCAGTTTACGCGCGAACAACCTCTGACCTCCTAACGCAGGTTTACTTGCGGAATCGGCCAAACAAGTCCCAGAATGATGGTTTGTAATGTATGGGATGGTGGTGAAATGATGTTGTTTAGAGTAGGTTGAAGATAAATTATAGAAAGACGGTGTAAACTTAAACAAAGATGAAAGCATAAACAAGAGAAAATATAAACAACAAGACAAATAAATCTTTAAATTTGATGATATAAATTGCTTATTAAAAAAAAATGTGGATGCAATCATACATTTTGTAGGAATGAAAACTCTTTTTCTCTTAAAGCTTAGTACTTAGAATGTTTTTCCCTTACAATGTTACAAAATGCGTCCTCTAAAATGAAATTGGACATTGCCTTAAATAGGAAAATAAAATAACTGCCATGTTGAGTTTGGTGGCGCCACATGTCCTTCCAACACTTCTGTAACTTCCCACATTCACAGCCTTCAAAATTTCTTCCCGCTCAAATGTTTCCTTCCTTTGTGTTGGCTTCCTTGCCCATCAGCCGACCTTGTCGACAGAACTTTCCTGAGTCAACCCACAAGCCTTCCTCTACTGACATCGGCTCACCTTATTTCCTTCTCCATATTTCCTAGCCTATCGACCAACAAACCAGTCTTTGTGTCGCTTCTCTTTAGTCGAAACTTCTAGCCAACAAGATGCCCCTCAAAACCCAGTTTCGACGGAATACTCTGTCGACCAAGAAACTTGGAGTTTTGGTTCTATGGAGTTTTAACTGTGTCTTGGTTATGACACAACAATACCATCATTGTTTTTTGTCGAATCAACCACGCGTCACCCACAGTCTGATGTGATAATGGTGCCTTTCTGCGCCACGATTTCCAAGAAGAACTAATCATGTTTGGTCACATCCGAACGTCATGGGTTTTGAACCACTCCCACTCACTTTTAGAATTAGAAACGTCTTTTTCCTTTTCAATTATGCACCAAATTACCTATAAATAGCTCATTTCCACACTTGATTTCTTTTCCCCAACTTTTCTCTTGCTTCAACTTTCCTGCAAACCTTTGCTTTCCAAAGTTCTTCAACATCCTTTCCAATGGCTTCTTCAACCATTTCCCCCATTCACACCACCAACAACAATCCTATAGCGTTTGTTCTTTCTGAAGTTGATTCTCTTAGGCCCCTTCTAAACCCGACGTCTGCTAATGACGTGGTGGTGGCTGCCTGGAAACGCCAGATGGTCATCCATTTTACTGTTGCTAGAAAGCTACATGCTTTCCATGGGCTGTATCTTGCTAACAAGGCCAGCCATGAGGAGCTCCAGATGTTCTTTCCTTGCTTTTTGGCCACCATCTCCCCAACTTTCCAGAAGGGTGGCACTCTCGACCTAAAATTCATGGCGCCAAAGGCCCGTGTTTTCCAGTCGATGCCTACCTGTCGCTATTGCGAAAATCGAGGCCGGAAATGATAGAAGAGTCGCCACCGTGCGTTATTTATCCCAAGAGAGGGAAAGGAAACGCTCAGAGAAAACCTAACGAAAAGAGGGATAAGATCGGTCATCGCAACCAAATCTTGGGTTCGGGAGTCGGTTACGCAAGGGGAAAGTATTAGTACCCCTCACGTCCGTCGTACTCGACTGGATCCATGCTTGTTGTCTATCTAAAAGGGTGATTGAAACTATCTAAATACAGGCTAAAGGGCAAAAGAAAAAGAAAGTGACTCGACAAAGCAACGACGCTTTGTGCCTACGTATCTCATCTGAAGTGAGAATTAAGAGTCAGCGTAGTTCGGATAACTACGGGCGAAAGGTGGGGAAGGTTGCTCGCCAAAACATCGCGTCTTGTACCTACGTACTTTCATCTGGTATGAAAGATCAGAGCAAACGTAGTTCGGGCTAAAAGGGAACACAGGTTTGTTCAACTGTTTTTACCCGAGTAGGGTTAACAATCAGTTCTAGCAGTTTGGTGTATGCAGCTCGACCATTAGAGACTTAGGCGTTACTGTTTGTGATAGAACCAAGAGATAACAAAACTCTCCTTATGAAAATGATTTTCCAAGATTAAAAGGCCCCAAAGGGCAAAAAGAAGTTTGAATGATTTGTTTTTGTGTTTTTTAGAGAAGAAGTGTTTTTGATTTGTTTGCAATTCATATAGCACTAGAGACTATGACTTAGGAGTGAATGCGTTGCATATCACCCAAAGGGTTCTATACTAAACATTCAAGCCATTTAAGATAAACTCCTCAACAACCCTTTCCCGAGTGCTTAAGGCTCATAACGTACCATACTCATTAACCTTTATTAGGTGTTTTATGTTTGTTTTGAGATGAGAAGAGAAAGGACACTAAATGGGGACTAAATCCAAACCTAAAGTTACCATGCAATGGTGGTCCTAAGATTTAGATAAAGGAATTCTACCTAATGTTATCATACATGGTTAAGATCCTAATGTCTAACATAACCTCCCTTGAGCAAGAGAGATTAGAGGTCCTAAGGGAAAGAAACAACAGAGGAACAAGAAACAACACAAACATGCAAACATGGAATGCAAATGAGGGAGGAAATTAGTGTGGGGAAATAGCCTCCATAAGTTCATCTCAACCTCATTCAACACTATGACAAATGCAAGAAATGAAGGGATCAAGAAATGCATCAATTGAAACACACAAGAGCATTAAAAATGGGATGAAATGGCCTGAACCAAACAACATCAACCATAATGCAAAACACAAACACAAATGAAAGGCAAAGAAGACCTAAAACAAAGTGAGGATGGGAGGCTATATGAGGACAGCAAGAAACTCATAATTTGCACTCAACCATGAGCATCACAAGAAAGATGCATAAGAAAGCACAAAGAAGTCCTCATGGATTCATCATTTTTAAGCATGCTTCAAGTACCTCCAAAGGAGGGACCAAGTTACCTCAATTAAGATTCCAAAGTCATTGGGAAGCAAGGAAAATGAAATAAAAGTTCTCAAAGGAAAAAGGAGGTAAACAACAAGGAAATGCAAGCAAATTCCCAAAGGAAAGCAAGCATGTTTCACAAAGAAACCCTAATTGAGAACTCAAAAGTAAGCAATCAAATGAACAAGCAAAATACAATATAATAACCTAAAAATGAGCAAGCATAATCCTTAACATGTTAGAAACATGAATCAATAGGCATTGAGAGCTCAAAGGATCCATAAATGTCATATCCAAGTCAAACTAGGTCAAGATGTATGTGTGAACCTCCCTTTGGGTAACTTGACTTGCAAGTTACTCTAAAAATAGGAAAATGATTCAAAAATTATCAAATAAAATGCAAAAAGCTCATAAATATGTTGGAAACCAGAGGCCAAAAGGTTACAATCAAAATCACTTCACAACATCACCATAGAAATTGATTCACAAGGGTGCTCCATTGTGAAAGAGGATTGTTTAGGGTCAAATGAAGTGCATCAAAAGTCAACTCAAAATTCAACCAATCAGGGGGAAAATGGTCCTCAAAAATTCATCAACTCATCCTTGATATGAGGATTGAATTTTATTCATTGGATCAAAAGGAAATGAGAGAAACAAATAAAAACCAAAACATGTCAAGATTTAAGTCAAATAAAACACTTCCAATGTTAAATCTCATTTTTAATTGAAAAATAATTCATAAAATAAAATAAAAATTTCTAAAAATAAGAGGACATCTTAGGGAGTCCAAAACATATTTTTTTGGGGATTTTACCACACTTGGAAGTATTTTAAAATAATTCAAATCTAAACAGAAATAAAATAAAACAAAAAGAAAATAAAATATAAAAAAAACAAAGGGCTGGGGGTGCAGGAAGCAGCCCAGAAACGTTGGAAAATCCATGGGCTCACAAAAGGGGGGTGCCAATAGCACGCCCAGCCCATCATCCAAAATAAAGAAACAAAAACATGGGGATCCAATGTGGTATGGTCAACAGAGGAACATGGTACACCAAGCTTCAGACCGTCTGATCAGAAAGTAATCAGATCAAGGGGCTCACATTCACACACGTCATTTAATGAAGTTTCCAGCTGGATTTGGTGTGTGTGGTCAACGCAAGTGCACCGTAGGTCTTAATCAGAACCATTGAAACAAAAATCAAACACATCAAAGAGACAGAAATGAAACACGTGGCTCTGGTTGGGTTTAAAAAAGAGGAGGGAGAACTAGGCGGCCGAAACCACTGTTCCGGTCGTCTTCTCCGGCGAATCAACATGAAACATCCACGGCCAAAATCCTAGGTACCTCCAAACTCAACCAAAATGAGCAAAATAAAAGCCAGAAATGATCTCCAGGTTATGTGGATCATGAATCCACTAGCCATTTTCATTGATCAAGCCTTAAAAAGCCAAAACGAAAAGAAATAGAAATGAGCTCAAATGAAAAAAGTTCACAAACAACCATGAAATCATTCCAGAATCCATCTATGATATGAAAGGATTAAAAAGACATGAAAATAGCGTGATAAAAATGCTTGAACAGAGAGATATTTTGAAAGAAAAGAAACCTAGAAA